CCTCCTCCTCCCCCTGCCTGTCTGTGTCTCTCCCCTCCCCCTCGGTGATCCCAGTCCAGCTCTCTCCACCCTGGCCCCTTCCTCTCCCCGGCTGGAGGTCTTTCTGCTCCCCACCCCACAATCCCAGCCCTCTCCCTCCCCTTGCCTGGGGGTCCCTCATCACAGCCCAGCCTCCTCCCTCGATCTCAGCTCCCCCATCCTTCTGACCCCCATACATGCGGATGTCTCCAATGCCCCTGATCCAGCTCCCACTCCCCATATGTTGGGAGGAGTTTCTGGGCTCTCTGACTTATGGGTCTATGAAAAGGGGTTGGGCTCCCATTGTCCCCTTGTCTCTGGGGTTGGCCTTCTTCTGGGTCCCCCTTCCCACAGGGGAGAGGAGGAAGAGGTCAGGAGTTCAGTGCGGGATAGAGATATGGATGGGAGGAGTCTACTGGAGGGGGGGGGGTCGCAGTCCCACTCCTCCATGCTCTCGCATTTCCCACTCCCGCTTCCTCCCTCTCCACTGGAGGAAAGCTGGGCCCTTGGGTCCCTCACCCCATCCCTAACCTACCCAGTCTTTTGGCACCAGGGTGCAATTTTTCAGTGGTGCAACAGGTAAAGGAGGTGCAGTTAGCCGAGTTCTCCTGGCTCTGGTGTGACTGGGGGAAGGAGCCCATTTTAATTCAGAGAAGCGGTTTCAGCTCCACGGTTGGGCTGGTTCAGAGACCAGGGAAGACAAGTTTTCTGCAACCAGAGTTTATAGCTCCGGTTTCTGTTTGCTTTTAGAGTGAAGCTTGGTTGATTTAAGGTAGATTGAGAGACAGCAGGAGAGACCCAAAAGGGATCGCCCTTGGGTCAGACAGGTGGAGAATGAACGGAGAAGCAGATTGCCCTACAGACTTGGAAATGACAGCTCCCAAGAACCAAGGTGAGAGCAGCCCTGTTGCCCAGGCTTTCCCCATCTGAAAGGGATCTGTGCTTTGAGATCCTCTCTGTGTACCCACCCCCCCAAAATCCTGCAAGGATCTAAGCATATGAGTAATCCCAATGAGACTACTTACGTGTGTGTGTAGTTAAGCACTTGTGCGAGTCTTTGCAACAGCGTTTAAAAATTAGAAAGGTGCCTTGGTTGTGATGTAATAAACTGTACCTAGCAGTTCGAGCAAATCCAGAATCCATACATGGATCTGACCTTCAGACCCTGCTTTCTGCTAGTCCTTTCCTGGGGACACTCAATAAAATTATTTAACGTTTAAAGTGGCCGCTAAAGCCGGCAGAGTTAAGGCTGATGCTCCAGCCCCACTCCATCCAGTTGTGGATGTAGAAAAGGGCCTGGCGGACTAGTTTATGGATGCCAGCCAGGAAATGCAAAATCGAGGCCAACTTTTATTGGTTTGTGTCATGATTGTAACATTCGAACGAAACAGACGGGATCAGATCCATACCTGAGGTGATCGGATGCAGCTTCATTGACTTTGCTGGAGTTAAGTATCAGGGAGTAGCCGTGTTAATCTGTATCCACAAAAACAACGAGGAGTCCGGTGGCACCTTAAAGACTAACAGATTTATTTGGGCATAAGCTTTCGTGGGTAAAAAACCTTGCAACTGTTCACATTGGAGCTGGCCTCCACCTCCTAGATCATCCAATTTTCTTTTTTTAATTTTTAAAGTGGTTTTAGCCCCACACAGGTACAAATCTGACTAGAAAAAGGTGCTCTTCCCCCCTCCCCCCCCCCTGTTTGTTTAGCCCTTAGCACGATGTGAGCCTGGGCCAGGACTAGCGCTCCTGGGCGCTACGATACTGCAAAGAAATAATAATTCTCACTGATAAGGTCAGAATCAGGCGTCCTGTGTTAATTTTACCCTGCAAATGGCTGCCTGAAGCGCTTTGAAAAGCCCTGGGAAAAACGAAGAGACCAATACTGGAGCCACACCCACCGTGAACGATAAAAGAACCGACTCCCGTCCATTCCTTGCATGCATGCCCAAGGCTCCCATTGACTTCTCCCATTGAATCCTGGGGACTCGAAGACTGCCAGATCAGAGCCCAGAAGTTGTATCTGTGCAAGCTAAGATGGTGACATGGAAGATCAGATACCATGTTTCTCTAGGGAGCAGCAGAAATCCCTCCCCGCCCCTGGCAACCCATGTACATCATTGCTTAGTTGGCAGCTGCATTCCTTCGAAGCATCTGGTATAGGGTGCAGTCATAGGCCAGAGACCCCAGGAGATGACTGCAGGGTTTGCTCGGGAGCGGTGGATCTGGTAACGTAGCTACACAAAATGCATATTAATGAGCCATGCGGGTCTGTCAGGTAGCTCATTTGATTGACAGGTATAGTGAGGCTGTGAAAGGGAAATTGTTAAGATCTGACAGAATTTAGCCTACCTTAAAATCACCACACACACACAGCCCTCCTCCCCCTCGGTCTGCCACCAAAATGGAGGTGGTTGGTGAATGGAGTCTAACTGGGGAGTGCTTTGAGGGGAGATTCTGCAGCAACAAAGCTAAGGCATGCGGGGACTTGGGGACGTACAAAGACCCCTTGCTTGCTGAACCAAATATGCCCTGGTATAATCAGGTAAGTTTATTTCAATGCCGTAGTAGAATCAGGTGCATTGATTTCAGTGGCACTGTGTCCATGTACACAAGGACTGGAGTTGGGTGGTTGAGAGGAGTGCAGGATTTTTGTCGTTTCCATAAACTGGCCGTTCCCAAGAATGGAGCAGGGAAATCCATTATGGTACACCCCGAAACCCAGAAGCAAGAGGTACACGTGGGGTCGGCTTAGGCCTCACTATTGTCCTGTTAACCTCTGCTGTGTGATATTAAGGACCGTGGTTGGCTCTTTGCATAAAACTCTTGACACTGATGGGAACTGTGTGTGTGTGGATTGAAAGCAGTATATGAATAAATGTTACTCTGGAACTTGGGAGTCTAACCAATATATTTTAACATGTCATTGTGAACTTTGTCTACCATTTTAATCAGCTGTTAATTTTCCAAATGCTAAAGAGATCAGATTGTTTTTAATTTGGGGAGAAGAAAAAACCCCAACAGCAAATGTTTAGGATGGCCAGCTCTGAAAATCTCAGGAGATCTGAACTTTTAATTCCCTTTAATTTTCATGGGAATTAGGTGTCCTTATCCCATACAGAGCTTTGCAAACCTCAGTTTTATCCCATGTCGTGGGTTAAAATTCTGCAACCCTTCACTTCAAATCAAAAGCCTTTGAAAGGTGAGCTGCATAGTGGAAGGTGGTTTTGAATTGAGGGTCTGATCAAGCGTTCACTGAAATCAATAGGCAGCTTCCCCACAGGCTTTGAGTCAGACCCGAAGTACAAATCTGTAGAATATAGAAGACTTGGCAGCGAAATACCAAAAACCTGTGTTTGTTTTTATATCTTTACTTGCCCCCTTTGTAAAAATCCAGGACTTGCTGGGCATGCCCAAGAATGCAACTTGGTGGACAAAGTGGGACTTCCATAAGATTTCCGGTAGCTGTGGTGTCCCAGAATTATGCACCTGTGGGTTCCCCTGGTGAATCAAGGATTTTAACAAAGGAGGGGAAGGAATTTTAAAAAGAAGCAGTGGGAGGAATGTGGGGAGGAAACACTGGTATGTAAAGGCTAAGTATTGTTAGGTGGGGAAACTTCCATTTACTTACTGCATTTAGTCTGTTTAACTTTACTGTATGTGAATATATATATAGGGTTTGTTTGCCATTTTGCTGCCCAGATCAAATTCCTAGAAACGTAGGACTGGAAAGGGACCTCAGTAGGCCATCTAGTCCAGTCCCCTGCACTGAGGCAGGACTAAGTATTATCGAGACCAGGGGTTCTCAACCTTTTTCTTTCTGTGGCCTCCCCAACATGCTATAAAAACTCCATGGCCCACCTATGCCACAGCAACTGTTTCCCTGCATATAAAAGCCAGGGCTGACGTTAGGGGGTAGAAAGCAGGGCAATTAGACACAAACCTTCCAGGCTTCTAGCTGTGCATTCTGCCCTGCCTCTCAGCTGCTCCCTTCGCCTCCCTCCCTGGGAGCTTCCTGCTTCTTCCAGGGGGCAGCATGCAGGTTTGGTGATTGCCCCCATGGGCCGGCCGGCAGCGGCTGAGCATCTGCCTGGCAATGCGGTAACCACAGAGCAACGGGGCTGGCCCTTAGACAGTCTTAGTGGGGGGGGATTTATCTCTGCCCGGGGACAGAGAGGAGACAGTTTGTGCCTCCCCAGTTCAGCAGGCTGCAGGGGTGGTTCCGGTTCCTCTAACTGATGTCCCTGTGGAGCTTTGCCAGGTTGTGAGAATGCCGTGGCCCCGCCGTTCCTCCAGCTGACCCACTCCCTGCTCCAGCCATAGGGGCTTCCTGCACTGGGGGAATTGAGCGGGGTGCCAGGTGCCTGTCCCGCAGCCCCACCACGCCAGCCCAGCTGGTGTCAAAGGGCCATAGCGACTTGTGTCCTTCATCCGCTACTGTGGATCTCTGCTAGGCTCTAGGGTGGCATAAACCGAGCTCTTCTGAGCCTAGGGAAGTTCTGTAGCCACGGCTTTCCAGTGCCCCTAGGCATCCCTTTTTAATTGGGGGGAGGCTGCCCAGATTTGCCAACCTGCCGTGCAGAGAGAGGTTAAAAACATCCCTCAGCAAGAGAACATCCTTGCAAGCGGCCGTCAGGTAAACTCAACAGCTCTTGCCTTATTGCGTCAAAGAAACAGTCCTCAGCACTTGCAGCGCAACAGCTACCGGCTTGTCTGCTGTTGCTTTAAAAAAAACACCCCTCTGGCGCACGCTGAGTGAAATTTCTGCCTGAGCTGGGACGTTTTGGCCTTCAGAAGAGGATGGAAATATAGCTGGTGATCCCCCTAATTACCCAGACCAGTCTGTCTGCCCCACAGGGGAGAATGTCATGCTGGGCTCTGTAGTCTCTGCATGCTGCACTGCTCTAATAAAGGTGATGCTGGTTGCAAGCGGCAGCTGGCCACGTCTGGGTGCTGTGGTGCGATCCTGCTTGTGGCTGCGTTGGGTTAAAGGGCTGTCGCTCCGCTGGCGTTCGGTGAAAAGCTTCCACGCAGAGCTGCGTGTCCTCCAGCCTCAGGGAGGGCCGGCTGGCTGCGATGTGGTTTCGATCCTTTGTTTTCTTCCTTGCTCAGACCTTTGGTCCCAGGAGGACATGCTGACCCTGCTGGAGTGCATGAAGGGCAACCTGCCCTCCAACGACGGCAGCAAATTCAAAACCACCGAGTCCCATCTGGACTGGGACAAAGTGGCCTTCAAGGACTTCTCGGGCGAGATGTGCAAGATGAAGTGGATGGAGATCTCCACCGAGGTAACCTCCGCGCGTTTAACACGACGACCTTGGGCGCTCTCCTGACGCTCAGTGCTATCGGGCCATGGCTTTGTGTAGCGCAGGGGAGTGAGTGGTCTAAGCAGGGGTGTGGGAGCCAGGAATTCCCGAGTCCCCTTCCTCCCTTACCTAAACAACCGAAGTCTGATTACCCGGCCATAAGACTTGGGTTTTTCAATCATTTGTGTTAACTTTCTCCCCCAGCTCTGGCTCAGCCAGTGGCTCACTGTGGGCAAGTCCCTTCCCCCACTCTTTGCCCTATGCCCCTCTGCACAGTGGGGATGACACTGACCTGTCTCCCCCTGCTTGGGGGAGGGCTCAAACAGTGAGCCACAGCATTGTTAGTGAAGTGTCGAGCGTTGTAGGGTTTAGCATCGAAGTGTCCGGCGCTGTACAAATGGCAAAGCTGCCCCTCTTCCCCCCCCCCCCCAGCTTGTGATCTGTCCATCTGTTATCACCATGGTGCTGTTTGATCTGTCGTGGGAACTGATCCCCGCCTATTCTTGTAGGTGAGGAAATTCCGAACGCTGACAGAGCTGATCATGGACGCTGAGGAACATGTAAAGAATCCTTACAAGGGCAAAAAGCTCAAGGTAGGTGATAGGGACGGGGCCAACAAATGGGGTCTCGTGTCCCACCCTGTCCAGGCTGGGGGATCTCAGCAGGGGGCAGCAGAATTGCCTTAACCATCATTGGGAGGAGCGGGAGTTGTCTTCTGTACTGGAGTCCAGGAAAATGCATCACACGTCAAGTCTCCCGTTTGTGATATTCTCTGGCAGGGAAATAGACTAATTGATCTAATGGGCCATTCCGGGGCTAACTCAGTGGGGGAAAACTTGGCTTCATTCTGACCGATGACAACACTGACATGCTTCCCCAGGCTGGGAAGGATCAGTTAGCTAACGTTTGTAAAGCACGTTGGAGGTGGAAAGCTCTGGGTACTAGCCACGTATGGTGACCAGGTGAACTACGTACAACAGGCATGGGTGTGTTATTGATAACCTGTGTCTTAAGTTCAGAGCAGGGGGCCGCGAATTGGCTCGGGGAGGCAACGCGGTCTAGTGGCTACAACACAAAATGGGAGTCAAGATTCTCAGCATGAGTCAAGCCACTTCCCTGTTTTGTGCCTCAGTTTCCTTTCCCCCGTCTTTAAAATGACACTAGTACCCTCCTCACGAGAGGGGCTGGGAGGCCTAATTACTGTGTGTAAATGGTCTTGGAGAGCCTAGGGCAGCCCCTTGGTGGCCTTGATAAATCTGAAGGATTGTTATTTATCTGTCTTAGGTACTCGTATGGGTCCCATTCCCATAGCATGGAGCACCTCACAGCCTGCTGTGTGTGTATCCTCACAACCCCCGTGAGGCAGGGCAGTGCTGTTTTCCCCGCTTCCCCCCCCATCACAGATGGGGAACTGAAGCACAGACTGGCTAAGTGACTTGCCCCTGGTCACACAAGGGGTTTGTGGCGGAACCGGGAACTGAACCAGGTCTCCCAAGTCCCAGGCTGGCGCCCGAATCACTGGGCCATCCGTCCCCTTACAGGGACATGGTGTGCATAGGGATGTATGTTTGTAATTGTCCTCTTTCCCTCAGAAACACCCCGACTTCCCCAAGAAGCCCCTGACGCCCTACTTCCGCTTCTTCATGGAGAAGCGAGCCAAATACGCCAAGCTGCACCCTGAAATGAGCAACCTGGATCTGACCAAAATCCTGTCCAAGAAATACAAGGAGCTCCCCGAAAAGAAAAAGGTACGTGGAGCTACGGAATGGGGGACTTGGGAGCTTCTCTCTCTCTCGCGTGCACACACGTACACACACACGTACACACGTACACACACACACACGACTTAGGCTGTGATCCTGTGCTCCATGCAGCCAGATCCCCTTGTAGTCGGTTGGGGGGGAGCTGGGCAGGCTCTGGAGTCTGCCCACGCAGGATCAGGGTTCAGGTGGGCCACAAGTCCTTAGGACAGGGCATGTTCAGGGAGGCGGTGTGTGATCTGATGGGTAGAATACGGGACTGAGACACGGGAGCCGTGGGGGTCTATTCCTGGCTCAGCCACTGGCCTGCTGGATGACCTTGGGCAAGTCACGTCACTGCTCTGTGCCTCGGTTTCCCCCGTCTGTACAATGGGGATGATGACACTGACCTCCTTTGGAAAGCGCTTTGAGATCGTTGAGCGAAAAGCGCTACACAAATAGCTGGCTGGTATTATATATTTAAACCTGTTGGGCTCTTAAGATTCCCCCCCCCACCCCCGCACTCAGTATTTTCTGGGATCTCCTGTAGAGTCTGGGATCTGTTGGGGGGGGGGCGGTGTAGGTGGGGAGACGGGTGGTATCCAAGCTCCCCCCGTAATTTTTCCACTGAAACGGTCGGCGGCAAAACGGTTACAACGTTGATTGATCCTCATTAGGCTTCAGGGTCAGCTGCGCAGTGAGATAAACGTGCGCCCGGCGCTCTGGGTCCAGGCTGCCCATCTGTGGGCTCAGCGACGCTGCCCTGCTCTAGGTCCCCCGGGGAAGGCTTTCCTTGCAGTCGGAAGAGGTTAGGGACTGAGCCGTTGCTGTGACAGTTTCAGATCTTCACGGGACATGTTGGCTCTATCCAAGAGGTCACCCTGGCTCGATCCATCCCATGCCCCGGCCCAGCGGCCGCCCACCCGGCTGGGTCAGACGTTCCATCGGAGCGGCAGCTGCATGCGCCGTTCGCTTTATGTTTAAGCCCTCGCCTGTCCCCGCAGAGGTCTCGGCGCTAAACCGCGTATCGACGGGACGTGGGACAGCGATAAACATCCCCTCTGACTACCTGGCGCCAGGGCCTTCTGGCCTGAAACCAGGCCGCGGTCTGCCTTGCTCTAGGCAACGGCCAGGTTGGGATCTCTCTGTAGCTGCCTAGGGGTTCAGTGCCCCTTAGGATAAATGGGAATTGTGCCTCTAACCCCCTTAGGCAGCTTGGAAAATCTCAGCCTCTAGCTGCCATTTCCAGACCCGATCCTGCAGGGAGCTGCGAGCCCTGAACTCCCATGGACCCCAGTGGAAGCCAGGGCACTCCGCACCTTGCAGGGGTCAAACGCTTCATCTGCAGGGCTGGCCGAGATGACTGGGCGCCAGCCTCCCAGCGCACGGGGGTTCCCTTCCTCTGCTGGGCAGCTGAACGTCGGACTCCGCTGGCTCCCCTCCCCTGTTAACACCCCGGCTCCTTTGTCCCTCCCAGACGAAATACATCCAGGACTTCCAGCGGGAGAAGCAGGAGTTTGAGCGGAACCTGGCAAGATTCAGGTAGGGCACTGACTGGCCGCGTCTCCCGGGGGCGATCTCGAGCCGTGTTTGTCCCGACTAATGGGGGATGATGAGCATGGACGTGTAACGCCCACAGAGGGAGGAGCCCTTTGTGGGGGGAACAACAAGGAGGAACAGGACGGCGGGGAACAAAGGGAAAGGAAGGCTGAATCTGAATGGTTTCATTGGCTCTCAAGCTGGGTGTCCTGGGGGGACGCAGACTAAGGCCCGGGCTGGAGCAGGCAGGTCAGTAGAAGGCTCTTTCTCTGACAAAGCCGCCCTAGAGTGCAGACATTGGGGATCCATCTCCCCCCAAGAGAATGGTGGGGGCCAAGTTGATGGGGTCCTTAAATACATTAAAGGGATCCTACGTTGGCCCCCCACTGCAGTATGGCCTCGATCTCTTCTAGCTCCAATTCCTGTGACCCCCTGACTCTCTTCTTGGGCCTTTCCCCTTCTCCTAAGCCGCTAGGGCCCTGATCCTCAAAGGCATTTAGACTGCTATCGTCCATTAAAATCAATGGATATGCGGAGCCTAAATACCTCTGAGGTTCTAGGCCTCGGTGTGTAGCCCTCTTAAGTTCCGGGCCAAGATGTTCCAGGGTGGAACCCAGTTGATCAGAGTGTTATGGTCTGTCTCTTCCTTTCGCTGCCTCTGACGCTCACCCCCCGCTTCTTGTCCCCGCTGCGTGAAGGGAAGACCACCCAGATCTTATTCAGAACGCCAAGAAGTCGGATGTCCCTGAGAAACCCAAGACCCCACAGCAGCTGTGGTACAATCACGAGAAGAAAATCTACCTGAAAGTGCGTCCGGATGTGAGTTCCTTGTGGAGATGTGGCCTATGTGTGTGTGTGTCTTTACACCATGGGAGGGGGAGGAGAGAAGCCGGGGACGGGAGGGGGCCTGAAGGAAGAGGCACCAAGCAGAAGTCCTGTGCTGTCCGGACAGAGGTAAGGAAGTGGCGCCGTGTGTCTGGGAGCAGACCCGGTGCCCGAGAGAGAGGGCAGAGCACTGGTTTCGCTGCGGCTAGGGAAGAGACGCAGCGCGTAGGGGCAGGACGGTGCAGTGAGCACGCCCAGGATCGCTGTGTTTCCCAGGGCGCAGAGAAGTGCCGAGCCCCGTTGCAGGACCCAGAGCAGTGAGATCCCCCCCAGCGCAAAGGCGACTCCCCTCCCACGTCCCCGCGAGCTGGGCTCGCTGCCCCGCCATCCCAGGCGGGAGAGAGGGCGGGCGGGGCCCGCATTTCACCCCTGTGCCCTCACCTCTGGCTTTGGGTTTTCAGGCCACCACGAAGGAGGTGAAGGACGCCTTGGGCAAGCAGTGGTCTCAACTCTCCGACAAAAAGAGGCTGAAATGGATTCATAAGGCCCTGGAACAGCGAAAGGAGTACGAGGTAGGGAACAGTCACCAGTTCCCCTCCATCTTCTCCCCGGCCTGACGGGCGCCACCTCCCGGCCACCAGCCGAGGGGCGTTCTGGGAGCCGGCCAGCCCCTCTCTGTAATCAGCCTGAGGGGTTTCTGTTGAGGGATGCAGGCCCCTCTCCTTCCACTCATTGTGGGGCTAGCCCACAGCCCAGGTAGCTCAGAGCCTTCCACCGCAGAGCTTGGGATCCATTGCCTCTCGAAAGCGAGGGCAGATGGGCGAGGCGTAGGGAGGTGACTGGCTTCTCTCCTCCTCCCCTCCCTGTGCTGGCGGGCGTCGGCTCGGCCCCCTTAACCCGCCGGCTGCTTTGCCGTCCACAGGAGATCATGCGGGATTACATCCAGAAGCACCCGGAGATGAACCTCGAGGAAGGCGTCACGCGCTCCACCCTCACCAAGGCAGAACGCCAGCTCAAGGACAAGTTCGACGGGCGACCCACCAAGCCCCCTCCGTAAGTCCCTTGCAATTCGGGGGTGGGGCTGGTGCTGCTTTTTCTTGGGGAAGGGGGAGATCTGGGGCTTTCCATTCCTTCGCCTGTGTGGGTCCAGGAAAAGCAGAACTGGAAGAAGGCAATCTGGGGCCCTAGGCACACCCCTCCTGGCTTCGTACTCATGGCCCCACCCTCCGTGGCTTGGCCCCACTGGGCCCTTCCTCACCCCAGCAGCTGGATGTATCTGCTTGGGGGGACAGTTGGGCTCCCTGTGCTCTCCTCCTACCAGCAGAGCCCTCTTCTGGGTGGGCACTGGCAGGGTGCTCCAGGGCGGTGAGTCCTGGAGTTAACACCCCATTGAGCTCCTCCTCCGAGCTGTCGTTCCAGGCTCTCTGCAGACTCGGGCTGTTGTTGCGCTCAGATCACGGTTTCAAGTTTTTCTTCACAACCACGAGGACTAGCCTTACTTTTTTATTCATTTTTTTTTTAAATGAGAGATCAGCCTTGCTCTGTACTTAACATTTAGCTCGACCTCACTATCACTCAGGGGTGTTGAAAAAAATCTAGCTGCTGCTGCTCGGGGAGGTGGATTAACTGCAGTGGACGGAAAATCAAGTAGGATGCGTCTGCACTACAATGGCACAGCTGCAGTGTAGCTCCTGTAGTGTAGACATACCCTCGGATTCTGAGTAATCATGTGACTCCTGGGCATGGGCCTGTAATCTGGCCTTCAGTGGCACTGACTTCGCAGCATCCAGCCAGTTGACACGCTGGCTGCTCCAGATTTTGGAGGACAATATAGTTGGGATTATAGGGGGAGGGATAGCTCGGTGGTTTGAGCATTGGCCTGCTAAACCCATGGTTGTGAGTTCAGTCCTTGAGGGGGCCATTTAGGGATCTGGGGCAAAAATCTGTCTGGGGATTGGTCCTGCTTTGAGCAGGGGGTTGGACTAGATGACCTCCTAAGATCCCTTCCAACCCTGATATTCTATGAAAACTCTATGATTATACCCAGAAATTGCTTCCCTTCTCTTTCGCTGCACCACTGAAATGTAGCCTCCTCTGGAGTTGAGCACGGCAGCTGTTGAACAGCGCACAGCAATGCTGCAGGGTAGACTGGGACGGGAGGTGAACCTGAGGAAGCAGGCTGGAATCCCCCAAGTTATTCCCCAGAGGGAACACCGCTGGGGAATTTTCAATGGCCATGTGTGGGCAGGACCCTCATCTGGGACGGGGAAGGAGTGGTGACCCCTAGCGCCTCACAGCCACTATTGCTTCACAGGAATAGCTACTCTCTGTACTGTGCGGAGCTGATGGCCAACATGAAGGATGTCCCCAGCACGGAGCGGATGGTGTTGTGCAGCCAGCAGTGGAAGCTGCTTTCCCAGAAGGAGAAGGACGCGTACCACAAAAAGTGTGATCAGGTGAACAGACCGGGGGCCCGCACGTCAGTGGAGCTGAGTTTGGGGAAGGGGAGAACAGCTGGAAACAGCCGGTTTCTGCAGCTGTCTTGGCAGTTCGAGTGGCCGCGTTAAATCATCGGTCTGGGTTTGAGCCCCACCTGCTGTAGGCGCTGAGTGTATCTGGAGAAACGAGTGCCAGGAGAGAAGCCGGACGCCTGGGTTCTGCCCATGACGCCGGGCAAGTCACGTCCCCTCTCCGAGCCTCAGATGAAGCAAGGGGTGATTAGGGGCTGTGAAGTGCTTAGAGATCCTCCAGCGGGGAGATGGGATTAGAAGCCTCGAGCACTGACTGTGGGCGAGGTCGGTGCCAGAGGCTCGGGCCGAGGGAATCGGCTCTCTCGCTGTGCGGCGCTGGGCTCTGACGCCAAGGCACAGATCCCCTGTGATTTTGCTGGGTGTTCGATTGGTGCGTGGGGATGGAGGTGACGTCTCCTAGTAACCGTCTCTCTCTCTCTCTCTCTCTCCTGCTGCTTTTTCCACCAGAGGAAGAAAGATTACGAAATCGAACTCTTTCGCTTCCTGGAGGTGGGTGCGCCTGGGACGCGGCGGGTGGCCCAGCTCATTCCGTGAGGGGGCCCTGGCCAGCCTTCCCTTGGCATTTCATTACATGGCTCGTCTGTTTTGTTCTGCGTGGGCAACTGATCGTGGTGCACAATTGGGGTGGGGGGAGCGCTTTGTGTGCGCGAGGGCCTGTCTTTCTCTGCAGCACGGGCTAAAGAGGCAGGCACCGCACGATGGTATCCCTGTATTCCCCAGGTGCAGCTCCAGCTGTCTCCTTTCGCTGGGGCGGATGTCAATCAGAAGTCTGTTCCTTTATATATTGGGTCTTATCCCGCCCCCTATCACTGCAGTATCCCAGCCCCTTCCAGTCATGCATTAAGCAACTTGATTAACAGTTGTCACATGTGGTTCCTTCCCTCTCCCCGGGGGAGGACGGTGTGGGCAGTGGAGGGTTTGTTTTGGTAGGGTTTTGTTCCGGTGAATGTCCGGGATGGCCATTCATTCCCCAGTCTCTGACCAGCTCCGGAGAAAGCGCCGTCTCCTGCACAGAGGAGCTTTAGCGGAGTGAGAGGAGCTGTTCCAATGTAAATGGGTGTGAGCGGAGAGAGAATCCAGGGGTGTGTGTGTGTGATCCCCTCCCCCTTCCGGCCCCCCGCCATGTTTCCACCATCTTCCCAGCATGTGGGGATTTGGCCTTCATTCAGCTGGTGGGGGAGGGCAGGGCAGGGCCTGGCCTTGTTTTGACCCGGGCGCTACTTTTTCCAAAACGTCTGGAAGCTGCCAGCCCCTGTGTTGTGTCTGGATGGGCGCGATGATTTTGTTTGCAAAAACCAAGGGTGGAAAACCCAACAGGTCTGTTTCCCCACCCGCTTCCCCCAGGATAAAGCTTCCTGTCTCTGGGGGAGGAGAGAAGGTCCCTCTTTGTCTGAGTAGGTGGGACAGGGACTGGCTCGGGTCGGAGCTGGTATCTGTCCGTGCTGTGGGAGAGCCCCGCACCCTGAAGCGCTGGGCTTAGCTGTCTCAGGATGGGCCCATTTTGTCACGTGGTGTTTTAACCAATCTCTGGGCACCTTCGCCGGTTTAAAACCCGGTGCTCTAGGAAGGTGCCAATGCATTTGGAAAATGGTACCTATCGCACCAAACATTTCAGGTGGGGGTGTCCTTTTCCCCTCTATCCCTGGAGTCCTAAAAGGGAAGCGTTGTCTAGTGGCTAAATCACAGGCCCGGGAGTCAGGACTCCTGGGATCTGTTTGTGTCTGTGCCACAGATTCGCTGGGTGTCCTTGGGCAAGTCACTTCCTCTCTGTACCTCTGTTTTCCCAGCTCTAAAATGGGCATATACATTTTACTGTGAGGAATTGGTTAGTGCCTAGGTGCACCACTGCCCTCTAGTGGATATGACTGGAAATCCCGCACTGTGTCATAGGCCCAGTACAGCTAATGGAGATTCTCTAGTAGGCAGATTCTGGAGCAGGAGAATCCGAGGCCCGTGTGGTTTGAAATGCTCAAAGGCGTTAGTGAGACTAAAACAGCAGCATTGTTGTTGTTCCATTCCCTTTTCGTTGGATTGTTCCTCCTTTGAAAACTCGCTCGCGCCTCTTTGGGGCTCTCTGACCCACCCGCCTTTGCTTGCAATGCAGAGCCTGCCCGAGGAGGAACAGCAGCGGGTGCTGGGGGAAGAGAAGATGCTCGGAGCGAACAAGAAAGGCGCCACCAGCCCAGCTTCCAAAAAGTCATCGCCAGACACTGGCAAGGTGAGGGGCCGGCTGCGGCGCAGGGGGTGCGTGTGCGTGTCGTGAGAGTAGAGGGGCAGAGCCAGTTACTTCTAAACCAGCTTCAAGACTTCTGGATGGTAACTGCTGAGCCAGCAGGGAAAAATTAAACCAATAAAATAAAGAACATAAGGAAATTCAGATTTTTTTTTTGACTATCGGAAGCTGCTGGGGGATTTTTTGTGCCCTTTTTTTTTTTTTTTTTTTTTTTTATTATATATTTTTTTTTTTTTTTTTTTAAACTCAACCCCACACCAAGACCCTTTGTGCTCTTCAACAGGCAGGTTCTGAGAAACCCAAACGGCCCATTTCTGCTATGTTTATCTTCTCGGAGGAGAAGCGAAAGCAGCTGCAGGAAGAGCGACCCGAACTTTCCGAGAGCGAACTGACCCGGCTGCTGGCGCGGATGTGGAACGACCTTTCAGAGAAGAAGAAGGTTGTGAAATCAATGACACGCTCGTTAGACACCTTGTTTTACCAAACGGCACCTCTAGCTAATTCTCCTCTCGAGAGAGAGAGAGAGAGCCCCAGAGGATGCCGGTAGCATCCATCCCCTCTAGGGGGCGCCAGCAGTTCAGGCCCTGGTCACTCCCTATCTGGCCATAAGCCGTTGTGATTTTCTCCACCGTGACAATCAAGGCCCCAGCGGGTGGCACAAACGAATGGGTCCTGGCGGCTGCCCCCCTCCTCAGCAGTGGGGTCCTCGCATCTCTCTGGAGCACCTTTGATTCCATGCAGCCCAGACACCAGAACTAAACAAGCAGCTCAAATCGATGAGAACTTGCTGGGCTTAAACCCAGAGAGGTCTTGAGTCTGGATTTAAAAGCCTGGCCCGGGGGGGAGGCGTGGGGAGTGGAGTCGTGGTCCATCCGGCCCCAGGGGGTTTCGCTCACAGCCGAGGGTGTGTGTGTCGGAAGTTACGCTTTGGCTGGAAGGTTTTTTTGGGGGGGTGGGTGGGAGGGGAGGGG